GGGGGGGGGGGGGGGGGGGGGGGGGGGGGGGGGGGGGGGGGGTGTTGCGGTGCAGTCATAGCCCTTTGCCCGTGGTGTGTGCTGGGCCTCGTCGGATGTTGAGCCAGCGGAAGCAGCAGCATGGATGTGTGCGTTTGCCACTGAATCTGAGTTTGTCATGGAAGAGAACGCACGTGTTCATGCACCAGCCGCGGAAGCGCCTTAAGGTATTGGACGAGTCGCATGAAATGGGAAGCCTTTTGTCCTACTTCGAAGCGCGCGTGACAGGGAGGGAGAAGGACAGGGGGGGGGATGGGCTTGATTTGCTTCAGGGCATGGATGGCCTTCGCTGGAAGAGTGCTTTGGTTGATGGTGATGACGCACACGAGCAGCAGCCTTGAGAGTTGGAGGTGTCTCACGCCACGTGCTGTGTGTGTGTCTTTTTTCCTCTCTGCGTTTTGTCGAGCTTTTTGTTGGAGCACATGCTTGCCTAACGAGTCCGCTCTTGCATGTCACGTGGTTTGTCCTCACCTAGGCCCAGTTCAGCCAATGGCAAGACATGCTGCCGAACCAACTTGTCGCAATTTTTTTGTTGTTGTTCCTGCGCAGCTCTCTCCTTCTCATGTCGATGTTACATGATTGCGAAATAGACCCCACGATTTTATGACATCATATGCTCAGCCTCCCCCTCGACCCATGGTCCGCGTGTGTGCATTCTTCTTTTCATTCCAGGCGAAAGAGCGACATCCGGACGCCCACTTCCTGCGAGACATTCCTCCAGAAACGCTGAACGCGCTCATCACGGTCGACACCTCGCGCGGCCAACAAAAACAATCGTCCGCGGCGGCGGCGGCGGGGGCGTCAGCCGACGGCGCCGGCGGGAGCGCCGCGGGGGATGCAGGGTTGACCTCGTTCGGGACGACGCCTTCGGTGTCGTCGTCTTCCTCTCTCGCCTCGGGGGGGGGGCAGGGACTCCCTTTCCTGACCGGGGGCGGGGGCGTTGGCGGCGGCTTTGGCGGCGGGCTTTCCCTGGAGGTGCTGGCGCACGCTCGGCATCTGGCCGCGGACGTTCAGCGGGTGAGGGGGGGGGGGGGGNGGTGTTCGGCATCTTGTGCTTACTTCCTTGCGTACGGATGACAGCTGCGTACGACTTAATTTACTTTCTGGTGCTTTCACTTCCTGAGACAGTTGAAAGCACTGTGTAACTGCCTCGAGGGTGCTTGACCATTTTAACACAACGTGGTGCGATCATCCCCTTTGCGCGGAGTGAGGGTTCTCGACCCCGCACAACATGATCTACTCGACCACCATTCATGGTTACCGCCAAAAAAAAAAAACGGAGGTACAAAGAAGAAAGCACGGTTACCTGTTTGCCGAGTTCACGAAGTGAATTGACTTGTTTTACAACGTCGTTGCCAAGCGACGAAACCCCACCCCCGATGGCAACCACCGGGGGGGGTGCGGGTTGGGGAAGGGGGGGGCTTTTATCCCCCCCGGCATCCTTTCGAACGTTAACGTTGTTGTGAAATGTCAGTTTGTTGTTTTTTGTCTTTTTGCGGTTACGCGAGCGAGGCCCCCGTTTCCTTCTGCGTGGAAAGAAAAGTGTGTCACGTGTCCTGACCCCCCGCCGGAACCACTGCTGCTGCCTCACGCCTGCCTGCCTCCAACAGGTTGCCGACGGGGCGGGTGCGTTTGCTGCCGGGAACATGGAAGCGGTCGGCAGGGTGATGATGCAGAGTCGAAGGTGGGGGTGCCCAGGCTGCTGCTGCTGCTGCTACTGCTACTGCTGTTCATCGTGCCGTGCCTCGCTTGCCGCATCCCTATTCCACGTCGGCAGTAGCATTGACAACCTATCCGCGTAATTTATATTCCATATACCGTAGACGAGGTGGGTTTTTGGGGCAGACTTGGCTCACGAGCATTATTTTTTTTTATCGTGTTCCTGATGGTGTGTAGCCTTTGTTTTTTTCGGGAACGATGAGACTGACGCCGGGGCCTGGGTCGTCCGTCCCATCGGACAGCGCCGTCGCTGAGAGAGAGAGAGAGAGAGAGAGAGAGAGAGAGAGAGAGAGAGGGAGAGAGGGAGAAATAGACAAGGCGCAAGCGTTAGGGGTAGAGAAGACGTAACCATCAGGGCNCTCCGTAGAAACGCGTTGTTCTGTGAGGCATGCCTCCTTCTGGGCTGCAACGACGACGACCTCTCGGTTCGCCTCGTCTGTTTTGTACAAGACGAGCCCACAGGGCGGCCTGGCCTGCACAACTTGTGTGATTTTCTACTTTGTGTCTCTCCGATTGTTCCTGCTGTACCACGATCTGTCCTTGCCGCCCCCCCCCCCCCCCCCCCCCCCCCCCCCCCCCCCCNGACAGGTTCTCGAGGGAGACAGGAGCCGCCGGAGCCCGCGGCGTTGAGGCTAGCGTCGATGATGTCTCTCCTGCCGGGAGTTCACGGAAGCGGGATTTCTGGGGGGTCGGGGAGCGGGGCCATGGGCGCGGTGGTGGCTGTGGTGGATCCGGCAAGGGCGGATGTGGGTTTGGTTTTGACTGACGGGCAAAAATGTGTTGAAATTTCCGATTGTTTTGGTGGTAACGTTTAGAAAAGAGAGCGCGATTTTGAATTTGTAAACGACATAAAAAAAAAACATACTCCAAGCGAGGGCCACGTTCGATGTTGGTCGTTTCGCGGACCGAACCGGGCTGCCGACGCGCGAAACCTCCCACTGGCGTTGGGACCTTAGCTACCTGCCTGCCGACATATGGTGCGAATAGTATGCGTCATCGCACCATCCCCCGGACGGAGACTTGCTTTCGTAGCTCGATTTCTCCACGACGACAATCACGAGGACATTGGCATGAGAGCAATCGCGAAGAAAAATCACTTTTGAGTGTGTCGTGAGGGGCCTCTGGTCGGAATGCTAAGATTTTTTCTCTCTGTATCAAATATCAAATACTTAGAGGAATGCCAGGAGATGAACACCCAGAGGCACTAACTTTTATAACAACCCCCCCCCCCCCCCCCCCCCCCCCCCCCCCCCCCCCCCCCCCCC